AAAAATATATTTGAAGTATAAAATGCTGTAGCTTCCATAATTCTTTATTAAATACTTAATTAAGTTGCATCATTTCATTACAACAACTTCATTTTGTCACATTGAGCTTTTGCTGTCAGGAAAACAAACTAGTTTCTTTCACTGCTCCTCAGAAAATAAATGCAAAAACTGACTTTTGTCCATTAACAAATCCTTCCCCGCAGTTTAAAGCTATATTAATTGTGAAAATGAGCATTGTTTATAAGTAGTAGTGAAAAATCAATTTTAAGGTAGTTCGGATAATTTTGAATAGCCTTCTAGTATGAAGTGGTTTTACAAAAAAAAAAAATTATTAAACAGTGAATTTAATCTGGAATGTTTGACACTTTTGCATGTTTGGAAATATTAATAATCTTGGTTTTAAATTTGATTTTAAATTTATGTTCACAAACACAGAACATAGCAACATCATTTCTTGGAGTTTTCCATTTGGGTTTTGAGAATCATAACCTATTTGCTATTGCGTGGCTGTGACAAATGTGCCAGGGCAATGGACGACCTGCCGGGCTCTTTAAATCCAACACAACACATTGACGTACAAAAATGCAACACGTGGTACTGTGTGTGGGTGCATATTGTGTGTAACTTTACAACTACATATTAAAAAAAATTAAGGACAAAAAGCACATGGTCTGTGTGAAAATAATACAGAAAAGTAAAAATCCAACGTGTAGGAGGATAAACGTGGATGAACAGATCGTTAGAAGTTTGCATTGACAGATGTATGACTAAATAGGGTTTGCAGTGATGGCATGTGCTAGGGTTTGAGGTGCATTGACCGGCCCTATGGGTGGATGACATTAATATGGTTAAATTTCAGTTTTGTGTTTCCTGTGCATTTCAAATATGCATTACTGCTTAGTGTAACATTATAATGGGGGGGGGGGAGAGGGAAAATTGTAGGGTTTTTTTTCTTTGTTGTTGCAATTTTACATCCAAAAGTTTTTGTTTAAAAATAAGAAAACCAATGTACACTTAAGCTGTCCAATCTGGTGATTTTTTTTTTTCTACTATACATTACTGATAATTAGCCCTTGCAATCACATGGATTTGATCACTTATTTTTAACTTAAAAGTGCTAACTATCCTGCTTCCCCTCCCTGGCTCCCTAGTCTTCACAATTCCGGGCCCTGTAGTGCCATGTGAAATACTTCACCCAGAGCCTGGGGAAGAGGGTGCCACTGATGCTGCAGTCATGATGGCCAGTTGGACAGGGCTGAGCACCCGAGAGCTGCGGGGTGTCCCTGGGGGTGCAGCGGTACTCTGCTAATTACAGCACCTCACGCTGGCGTGGCACTCGTGCTCCTTTCTCTCACAAGTTGCAGAGGGAGAGGTCAGCACGAGAGAGGCAGAAATAAGGTAATTCTTGTGGCAACAGGGCAGTGTTGTTACTTTTGGACTGGAAGATAAAAAAGCAGGGGTTTCCAGAAGCTGTGTGTGCAAGCAGGAGTTAATGATGTAATGGGTGTGGTGTGCAGGAACTACAACCTTACAAGGCACACATGTGTGAGCATCAATGTGAACAGGAGGGGAGAGCTGCAGATCCTGGTTTCTGTATGGTGACTAAAACTTTTATGAAGTAGTTGCCTTCAGGCTTCTTATGACCATACAAGTAATGGTTTGGGTATCACTTTTATGATTACCATTTATTAACCAAAAAAAAAGTAACTGCCTAGAACCTTTTACAATACTGTTGGGCCATTTTGTGGTGAATGGGCTAAACTGTCAGTATACATGAGCGTGCTGTGTTAAGAAAGGCACAGCACCATGGTACAAGTCCCATGGGAATGGTCATTGCTTTGTGTTTTAGATGTTTTAAGTAAGTAAATGATGTTGGACTACCTTTTTTCCTAGAAAGATTCTTACAAATGTAGCTCCAGGAGGACTCCTAGGTGGAAGGGCTGGAACCCAGCTTAGGCTCTTGGTAACAGTGCCATGGCTTTACATTAAGAGCCCTGCAGAAGAAAATCCATTTCCTCTGCGGCTGCTGCTTTGCAGAGCTAATGCCACTGACTTGGCCTCACGTAGTTTATTGCAAAACTGAAGGTAACTTCCCAGGTTTTGTCATAACATAATGATCTTAACTTTCTGGCTGAGAGGGGCATATCTGCCCCAGGGCTTAGCCATCACCATAGCCACCAATAATAAATCTGCGGTGTGTGGGTACAATCCACATACATTGCTACAGCAACAGTAGGTTTGCAATGCAGGTGGCAGCTGTGGTTGCAGTGTCTGGGGCACAAGAAGCACAAATAGCATTTATTTAGCTATTTGCACTAATTGCAAGCAGGCCAAA